AAAAAAAAAAAAAAGACTCTATCTTTCCAAAAAAATGAAAACAATTAGCTGGGTGTGGTGGTGGGTGCCTGTAGTTGTAGCTACTTGGGAGGCTGAGGCAGAACGATTGCTTGGGTCTAGAAGTTGGAGGCTACCATGAGCTGTGATCATACCACTGCCCTTTACTAACTCTGATGTTTTGGTTTAAATTAGACCTTGATCTCGCCAGTCTTGCTCGAGGTTTTGCCCTGCTGAAGATGCCTAAGATGCCAGAACTGAGAGGAAAGCAGTTTCCAGACTTTGTACCCATGGATGTTAATACGGATACTATTCCATTTAAAGATAAAATTAGAGAAAAGCAGAGGCAGAAACTACTGGAGCAACAAAGAAAAGAGAAAACAGAAAATGAAGGGAAAAGAAAATTCATAAAAAATAAAGCATGGTCAAAGCAGAAGGCCAAAAAGGAAAAAAAGAAAAAAATGCTTAAGAAAAGGAAAAGAGAAGAGGTAAAATTTGTAGTTTTATTACTTATATCAACTTAGAATTCTAAATAAATTTTATTGCAGTAGAATCTTCAATTAAAAATTGTGTGTGTGGGGCGGCACCTGTGGCTCAAAGGAGTAGGGTGCCAGCCTCATATGTAGGTGGTGGCAGGTTCAAACCCAGCCCCGGCCAAAAAAAAAAAATTGTGTGGATTCTCAGATTTTTCTATTATTATTTCTCTTAGCAACTAGCGTGGGGAATTTGCTGTATTTGTGGAAGCTGATGAGAGCTTATAGTCCTTGATTAAAAATTGCTGGTTTTGGACAGGCCTGGTAGCTTATAGCTGTGATCTCAAGTGAGAGAGTCATTTGAGGCCATGAGGTAGAGACCAGCCTGGGCAACAGTGAGACCCCCACCACTACTAACAAAAATTAGCCAGGCATGGTGGTGTGTGTAATCCCAGCTACTTGAGAGGTTGAGGGCAGATCACTTGAGCCCAAGAGTTCAAGGTTACAATGAGCTATGATTGTGCCACTACTGTCCAGCCTGGGCAACAGAGTGAGATCCTGCCTTTAAAAAACTGCTGTGTCACTAGACTACTGTTGCTGAGAAATTTAGTAGTTGTTGGTTTCTTCTGAACTTAGGGTTCTGATATTGAAGATGACGACATGGAGGAACTACTTAATGACACAAGGCTTTTGAAAAGGTTTAAAAAAGGCAAAATTAGTGAAGAAGAATTTGAGAAAGGATTGTTGACAAGTGGCAAAAGAACAGCTAAGACAGCAGATTTAGCGATCTCAGATTTGGAAGATGACAGCTGATTCCAGTGCCACAGACAAACCCAGCAGGACACAGCTGGCCCCACCCTCAGCAGAAGGCTCCTGTTTGCCTTGACTGAAAATCAGAACTTCAGGAGACTTCTGAAAAGAATCCTTCCAGACTGGGGGGAAGTGAGAGATTTCACACTTGTGAGTATTCTACTAAAAACACAGCAGTCTTGAGGAATTCTGTCAGAGAAAATGGAAAATTATTTGATAGAAATAATATCAATATTTGTATATCTTGATCACTTATGAAAGAGCTCATTTATTTTGAGGTTATACTTATTTTTTTCAAAGGTACTGAAATGTACTTGATTTTGGCTTTTTAAAGTTCCTTCGTACTTTGAGGCACTGACCTCCCTGGGTATCCTTGTCTCTGGACTTCAGCTACTCTGTGACACCCTGGATAAGGCACCAGCAGGGGTGGCTAATGTGCTGGGGGTTTTCTAAGAATAGTCCCACTGCTGTTTTATTGGTGAATAGCTGAAAACCAGGAAGCAAGTGGGAAAGAAAACTACTATAATTTTATGCCTTGTGTTGAATAAACTGTATAACCTAATTGACTCTCTTAGTATGGCTGCCTACTGTTTTCACAAAGACGGCCAACACATTTTAGGAGTCAGCTTGCAAACTGATGCGACACCATATCAAAATCTTTATTATATAATTTATTTGAAAAGATGTAACTTTGTTCTCGAGTATTATTTTAAAAAGCTATTTAGTCCCAAACATGTTTAAAGGAAAGTTCACCTTTTACAGATACAGAATTTCAGTTTACAAATATTTTAGAAGGCATTTCCATCAGTGGTGATGCAGGATCCTACTGCTAAACGCTGTTTCTGCTTTCCTTGTGTACGGTTTTTACTCCATTTGTCTTGATTCAGCTGGGACGTGTTCAGCACTGAAGGCCAGATGCACATTCATTATCGTTCCTTATTCCTTTCCTTTCTCACATGTGTAATTTATGTCCTGGCCAGCTGTTAGCCATTTATTGGAGAGGGCATGGCTGTAGTTAGGAATGGCTGCTTTTCAGCCATTTTCAGCTTTTGTCTTTCATGGATGTGTTTGGCAAATCAGTCTGGAGTGCAGGGGAGGATGAAAGGAGGTGGACTTAGGTACACCTTTCATTGGTTAAATAGCCTATAATCTAACTTTTAGTTCTAGAACTGTAAGCATAGTTTAATTGGGTTTCAGAACCATGGATACGTTTTAGATGGGACGGAAATAGGAAAAATTCTCTAAGATTTATGATTTTAAATCCTTAGTCCATAAATCTTCAGTAAAAAACAATTGAGTTTTGGCCTGGCTCACAGGGAGGTCACGTGGCTGCTCATCTCAGCTGTACATTGGCAAGAGAGGGCCCCGTGGTTATAGATAGAGCTTGATGAGTTCATCACTGACTGCTGAGGGGGTCAGCACTCCCAGGTCTGTAAACAGTAGCGTGATTAGGGAAGGGGCGGTGTAGTCGACCCACGGATGCTCCTCTCTGAGATCTTGTCCAGTCTGCACAGACCTGAGAGTATCTGCTTTATACTGAGGAGATAAGAAGCACACATTAGCCTGCCCTGAACCTTCAGGGCTCTGAACCAGTGAGGCTGTGGCTTGAGCCGTGACTATGCTACTGCTCATAACTGCTTTCTGAAGATGGGGTTAGCTAGCTCTGCAGCACACTGGTGGGGAGGATAGGGTCACCTCCACAAGCCAGAACGTAGTGGCTACTTGCCAAAAGCTGCAGTGTAACAAAAAGCCTAAGTCACCTGTCCCCTCATTGATGTGTTGGATTAATTTCTTTAGATCTCTCAAGGTAACAGTTTAGAGTCTATTTGTACATCACTTGCCATGTGCTGAGCTCGGTGCTGAGCTCAGCATCCTCATAACCCTGTCAGGTGCCATCATCCCATTTACAGATAAGGAAACAAGTTCAGGCCAGGCACAGTGGCTCATGCCTGTAATCCTACCACTCTAGAAGGCTAAGGTGTGTAGATTTGCCTGAGCAAGAGTGAGACCTTGTCTCTGAAAATAGCTGGGCATTGTGGCAGATGCCTATAGTCCCAGCTACTTGGGAGGTTGAGGCAAGAGAGTCACTTGAGCCCAAGATTTTGAGGTTGCTGTGAGCTATGACACCATAGCCCTCTACGGAGAGCAACAAAATGAGACTCGCAAAAAAAAAAAAAAAAAAGGAAACAAGTTCAGAGGTCCCAATGAAAAGATTTGTGCAAAGTGACATGGTTTACAAGTGTTTGTGAAGATGGGTGCTGAGCCCAGACAGAGGAAGCTCAGACCCAATCACCAGCTTCCTGCCTCTTTTCAGCCCATGTGTGGTGTTGCCTGAGTGAATGAGAGACTGAAAGACAGACATTCTGGGGCAAATGTGTGAGTCCAGTCACCCACTTATCTCTGTATCCCAAGTGTTGGAAAAAGAGCAATGGGAAGTGAAAAACTTACTGGAACATTCTTAGCACTGCAGTTTTTCAAAGCTTTCTGTTTAGACTTGTTACCCCTTCAAATACATAAAACTCTTGCCTTGAACTTATCTGGGACATCTTGCTGGTTTAGTGGAAAGAGCCGCACAAACTTGAAACTTTCTGCAACCACATAAAAAGGCTTGTTCTGTGCTTTGGCACACACAGCCATCTGGTTGGTTCCAATCTGGGAAGTCAGAGAAAATGGAGAATGATGAGCAATACTGAACATCTGAAGCAGAAAAAAACAAAAAGTATATGAATATATGCAATTCTGGCTTTGGAGTCAAAGAGGACCTTTAAAAAGGAAGACAATAGGTATTTCTCCAAGAATATACAAATGGCCACCAGGCACATGAAAAGATGCTTAACACATTAGTCATTAGGGCAATGTAAGCCGTTTAACCATAGCAAGATACCACTTCACACCTACTAGGATAGCTGTAATTTTAGAAATTGAAAAAACAAGTATCGGCAAAGATGTAGAGAAATTAGAACCCATCTGTATTGCTGGTGGGAATGTAAAATGTAGCTGCTGTGGAAATTCCTCATAAGCTAAACATACCATTACATATAGTAACAGTTCCAAAAGAACTCAGATACTTGTACACCAATGTTCACAGAAGCATTATTCATAATAGCTAAAAGGTGGAAACAAGCCAAGTATCCATCAAGAGAGGAGCAAAGTTGTGACACATCCATACAATGTAATTTTATTCAATGATAAAAAGAATGAAATTTTTTTTGTTTTTGAGACAGAGCCTCAAGCTATCTCCCTGGGTAAAGTGATGTGGTATCACCTCACAGCAACCTCCAACTCCTGGGCTCAAGCGAGTCTCCTGCTTCAGCCTCCCAAGTAGCTGGGACCATAGGTGCCCGCCACAACACCCAGCTATTTTTTGGTTGCAGCCATCATTGTTGTTTGGTGGGCCCGGGCTGCATTGGAACCCGCCATCTTAGGTGTATGTGGCTGGCACCTTAGCCACTTGAGCCATAGGTGCCGAGCCAAGAATGACGTTTTGACACATGCTACAACCTGGATGGATGAACCAGGTTAAGTGAAAACATCTTGCTAAGTGAAAATAGTCAAACTTGGCTCGGCGCCTATAGCTCAACCGGCTAAGGCGCCAGCCATGTACACCTAAGGTGGCAGGTTCGAATCCCCAGCC